TACAGCGCGCTACGAGAGAGATTATAAGCTACTTGTCATGTAGATGGGCGAGACGCTACTCTACTACGCAGAGACGTGTGGTAACGACAACGTCGTGCAGCTTTTGCGCGACGCGCCTCGGTTGCGAGACACAACCATGGTACACGATGTGAAGGAATATTCACGCGCTGATGTCGTCTCAGCTCTTAACAGCCCTCGACGAAAAGCGCTTTGCCGATGCACTTCAAATCCTAGAGCAAAATACTATCAATCCCAATCTCTCCGACAGCGTACGCGTCTCTACTTCGTACATGGAGTGGTTGAGCACCAATGAAATTACTGTAGAATGGATCATCCTTGGTGCAGCTGGTGCTCGCGACGCAAGACATACCGTTGCTCCAAGAGCTCGTGAACAAACCCAAACTCAATCTCAATGAGGTACACGCTTGTGTAGAGTAGCTCAGCAACTCTGTATTAGACGACTCGAGCTCTTGCTCAAACCTCTGACGCGGTCAAGACCCTCTTCCTTCACGCAGCCTCCACCAACGACGCGAGTGTTGTCGAGAAGCTTTTGTCGCTCGGTATCCGGCCAACATATACCAACGAGGTTGATACTTCTAGCAGTTATGCGCTTGACTCGAGTTGCTCTAGCATGGAGAGACGGCGTTGCACGTGGCAGCTGCCAGGGGCCACGGAGCTGTCGTCACATGTCTGCTCGACTTCGCAAACGATGAGGCGTATGTCAACACGATCAACCATGTACGTCCCTTGCCCTCGAAGTCTCTCCACTATGGACGGTTCTTGTATGCATGTAGGCTGGCGAGTCGGCGCTTTTCGTCGCCGCAGCACATGGCCGAGCTTTCGTTGTCAAGTCGCTTCTTGGTGCGCACGCGAGTCCCCACTGCGTCGCCAAGGTACTGCCATTTTCTCAACTGTATCTGTGGATAGTATGGCACGTCGATAGAATGGACGGACGCTGCTACACGCGGCCGTCATCAGCGGCGACGCGAGTATTCTCGACCACCTTCTAACGCTATGCAGCAAGGCCGTGGACGCATGTGACGCTGTGCGTTCGTCCGCGACCAAGAATCCTCGCTAACGATCAATCTAGCTGGGGCAAACGGCGCTGCATCTTGCGGCTGCCAACGGCCACGCGAGCGCTGTCCAGCTCCTTGTCGATGCCAAAGCCAGCGTCTTTGCCACGACATCGGTACAGTTCTCAGTGTGGACTCGAGTCACAAGTGTGCAATAACTCTAGGCGGGCGAGACCCCGCGTATGCTCGCGAAGGAGCTTGGTGTCATCGCGTTTCTCGAGATGGTTGAACACCGGGTTAAAGACGAGGTAGGCATGCCAACGCTACTACAATGGACATGATTCGTCCAAATGACGACGGCTCATCGTCGCGTGTAGCTGCTCGAGACCATAAAAAAGCACACATACGATCCAATGTTGACGCTCTTGGCCCATGGCATAGACCCCAACACCACCAACGAGGCAAGATAACTGCCGATGGCTCTGTTGCCCTGATGCCGAATCGTAGGCCGGTGACTCACTACTACATCTCGCAGTGCGGGGCAACAACCCCAAGGCCTTGGATGCGCTTTTGAAGGTGCCAGGCATCCGAATGGACGTTCGCAACCTGGTACAATGCACCGATATAGTCCATCGTACCAATGACAATGTTGTAGGCGGGCGTGACCCCGTTGCTCCTCGCCGTCCGAGATGGTTGTCGACACTTGGCGAAGATGTTGCATAAGGCGAAGCACAGTGTGCTTCCCGACGTACGTCGACTGTTTCTGTACTGATTGTTCAACGTGGCGTCCGTAGGTGCCCGCCTCGGCGATCGAGATAGACACGTCGCGTGTACTGGGTGCTGGCAGCTTCGGCGTCGTCTACAGGGGCACGTACAACGGCCGTTCCGTCGCGGTCAAGACGCCTGCCAAGGCATCTTGCATCCCAGATCTGATTGACGAGATGGAGACCATGCAACGGTGCAGCAACCATTTGTGATTTGCTCTTTTGACCTTAGTGGTTATAGGTGCAACTCGCCGTTCGTGCTGCAGCTGCTCGCAGTCTCGGGCGCCAGCACATCCAGCCCCAAGCTCGTACTCGAGTACATGGATGCTGGTGACCTTCGTAGCTACCTCGACGCCAAGCGGCTCGGTCAACCCACCAAGGTCAACGTGTCGACACTCGAAGTCGCATGGGTCGTTGCAAATGCCCTCGCCGATTTGCACGAAGCTGGTCTTCTTCACCGCGACCTCAAGAGCGAGAACGTCCTCCTCTGCTCCGAGAACTACATCAAGCTCGCCGACCTCGGGATTGCTCGCGAGTGCAAGTCCAAGATGACGACGGGCAAGGGCACGCCGTACTGGACAGCCCCCGAAGTCTATACGTCCGGCAGCAACTACAGCTTTGCAGCTGATATCTACGCATTTGGCGTCATTTTGTCCGAGCTCGACACACTGCTGCTGCCTTATGCAGATGTCCCGGGTATCAATTTCTGGGGTATCATGGACCGAGTCCGCAACGGCACGCTTCGGCCGAGTCTGACGCCGACCTGCGCGCCCTGGCTCAAAGAGCTCGCGACAGCGTGCTTTGCGTCCGACCCGGCGCAGCGTCCGACAGCCCACGACGTTGTCAACGTCCTTGAACGCCAGCTCAACCACGCCAATTCTGAGATGCCGCCAACTTTACTCCGTCGCAAACCGAGTGCATCGACGCCTCTGATAGCTCAGGTACAAACTTTGATAGAATTGTATTCAACTCAACAAAGGGTAGGTGGCACCGGTATCCCGGCAGCACGACGTATCGTCGGGCTCCTCGGCGCCGCTTTCTGCGAGCCACCTGCTGTCGCGCATACCTGAAGTCGAGCTTACCCCCCACGAATCACCGCCAGAGAGTGGCAACGCCAAGGTATACGCCACAGCGTGTATGACCTAACCCTCTTCTGGCACTAGACGGATGCGGGCGGAAGCATCGAGAAGGTCGTGGCCAACGATCTCATTTGTCAACGGTGTACCGCGACCAACAGCTTCCTGGACGACGCCTGCGAGACATGTCACGAGTCGTTGCCACCATCGTCGCAAAGGCTTGCACTGTTTGTGGAGCGGCTGGAAGTGGCGGCCGCGCAAGGCCTTCGCGTTGAATCGACCATCCCGTGTCATACGTGCAGCACGGCTTACCCAATGACGACAGCCGAGTGCGACGACTGCGGCGACGCGTTCCCCGCGGATACCGTCAAGATTCGCATGCTGCTCAAGCGCCTCGAGCTCGCACGTAGCAGCAACCCGATAGTATAAATCGGGTGAAACTGACCCGAGTGCCATGGACAGTTTTTGGATCCACAAGACCCACTTTTGATTGGTGGATGTGGTTGAAGGAAAGGGTTATCGATGCAAAGCCCCGTATTGCGCATCGAGCAAGCGGCCAACGCGTAAGTCTCGTGATCCATCGATCGATTGAGCGACTAAATGCATTTTTTAATATTTGTATACAGTCCAAATGTGTTATGTAGTACACAAACGCAGCGAGCACATGCTATCTCTTCCATCGACGAGCTCGATTTTACCCTACACCTACCCTAGCCCTAGGCACAAGCCGACCTGCAACTGGGTTTCCAATGATGCAGGACAATATACAGTAGGCTCGGAGGTAGCAGTTTGATTGCATTGGAGAAGAGTGATGCTGTACCAATTTGCGTTAGTTCATAGCATTATGAATTCACCGGGTTTATGATCCGACTCGCGACTGGGACGCTCGACATTCTTGATGACTTGATACCTCAAGGCTTAAAGCATCGGGTGCCATCCGCGGCTCAATCCAGGGACCGATGTCCGCGGCAAGCGCTCGCTCGTCGGGACCTTGTGCGTGTGGCAGTAGGCTTCGTACTCGCCCCAGAGATCCTCAGTGTCGGCGTACACTGTCGACTCTGTCGCAAGCAAATCTTCTTTGTAAAAGAACCGGCGCGGTGGCAATGTCCTCGTCCATTCCGTCTCGGACGAGTCGTGGCGACAGAAGCGCGTCAGTCGCGACGGCCGCTGTGCGTAGCAGCGACCGCAAAACGTAAAGATGGCTTGCGGGCACTTGGCACAGGCGACGACACAGCCCACGATCGGAGTGTGGCACACCATGCAGCACAGAGGCCACGTCTCGGGCGCGTCCTCGTCGGATGCCACCACATAGTCGCGGACGAGACGCAAACTGTCGGTGGCCGGTGCGCCCGCGTGGACCGCCATGTGGTAGAGTGCCCATGCGCTGACTTTGCTCGGCATATCGCGGAGCGCGCGGCCAAAGTAGGCAAGGGCGTCGTCCGTCTTGCCCAAGTGCTGGTGCGTCGCGCCGAGGTTGAGATGTACTACTCAAATGCACAGTATTGTCAACCAGCATCTCATCGACAAACTACCGGCCGTTAGAAAGTACAGATCGTTGCGCGCCTCAAAGGCGGTCTTGAGAGACAAAAGCGCCGACGTTGCAAGCTGCGCATCACCGTCCATCATCATGGTTGTTGCCAACTGAAGGCGCATGAGCAACGTGTTGATGTGGTCGGCGCCAAACGCTCGTTCGTAGGACGAGAGAATCGTCGCCCAAAGCGGCCGCGCTTGCGACGGCGCCCCCACGCGCATGCGTGCGACAGCGAGCTGCGACAACGTGGTCAGTGTGGCCTTGTGCTCGGGTCCAAGGCACGTCACTTGCGTCATATACGCTTTGCGCAGCCAGCGCGACGCCACCGTTGGCTGCAAGAGGCAGCTGTAGAGGTGGCCGATCAACGCCGCAGCCTTGGCCGTGCGCACGTTGCCGAGGCCGTCGATTGACCGTCGCACGTTAAATTCGTCGAGCGCCAGCGGCAGTGCTTCCGCAAAGGCGTCGTCGTGCGCCAGCGCAAAGGCAAAGCTGCCGCGGGTCGCCAACGTTGTCGGGTGTGTCTCGCCGAGGTGCGTCAGCGCAGTTGCGAGCGTCGTGCAGAAGAGCGGTTCCCACTCGGACCGCGGCTTGCGCTGGAACGCCATGGCCTGCGCGATATGCGACTGCAGCGACAGCGTCTCGGCGTCACGAGGGCCATTGACGCTCAAGGACAAGGCCAGAGCCTCACGGTAGCAGCGCTCGCTCTCGGCGCGATCGTTGACGTCGTCGTGAAACGACCCGAGC